CTTAGCAATGCATATTACTAATCAAAAATTAAGTTTTAATATATTTACAGTAGGAAATTTACAAAAAATCTTCATGGAACATGATCTTTACTTAATATCCTAATGATTTTTGGCATAAAAGAACAATCAATCATTTTGATCCATACAATGTATTTTTGGCTATTGCTACAAATATACCCGTACTACTTAAGACTGGTTTTGTGGTCCAGGGTCACATATTAAGATATCACCAATTTGCTTACATATAGTGTCATACTACTACTCAACCAAAAGGATACTTTCCCTTCACCTGAGAAGTAGCTACATACACTTAGAGCGTATCTGAAGTATGTTACTTGAGATGTACAACATCCTCATTATTCGATTTGCCTTCCATTCACTCATTTTATTCATCACTTCTATGAACACTCGCGCACACACACACCTGGCAAGCCAATGCATTATATCACACAATGAAATAAACTGCACTAGATGCTCATTTAATCGCTAACACCACCTGCTCCATCCAACGCACTGATAGCACAGCTGTGCAGAGCGTCTGTGTTTAGCAAGCAGATGGACAGACACAGGTCACATACTACACAGCATTATTCCTATCTGCACACTAACCTACTGCAATTTTTTTTTATCCTTAGCATGATTAGCACTGCAGCTAACCAACAGTCTGAGTGTGAAATCTATGCAGATAGAGGAAGGGAGGGTTAGAGGAAGTGTCATTGCGAACTGACCCACTTACATGTGATTTTCACCCATGCTATCTGTAGTTTAGAGTGTAATACTGGGACAAAGCTCCACAAAGCTCACCGACACAGATTATCCAGCACGCTAACACTGTGTTTTCTACATAGTCAACCTGCAATCACATTTCACTGCAATCAAAACGTTTTCTGTGTTTAGACCAGTCAAAGCCCATTTCACAGAATAAATACCCTAAAAAGCCTATGCTTCCCCTTAAAAAAGTACTGTGGTGGTACTATAGTATAGAGATGGTACTAGATAGTCATACTATGGTACTTTAATTCTAGGATGATGGCAGTCATTCATATATTAGAGTCTGTTAGTTCAAATCATTCTATGAATCATTACAAACAGCATGCTTCAGTTAAGCTCTGATTAAATGACCCATTTGAGTCACAAAACTGTTCTTGTGCAGTCACAACTTCCGGTTAGGTATTTTTCAAGTATTAAAATGTAAAATATCAATCAATCCAACCACAAAAACCCATTCATAATTGATAGAAAATAATTGTAATTAAATAAATAAATCACCCAGGCCTTAATGTGGTGTGAGAGCAAAAGAACTGGAGTGCCCATAATGAGCAATAGTGTAAGAGCACTACACAATCAATGTGAAATTACGGCCTTCGGGAT